GGGCCTGCGCACTGGAACCGCCGAGGGCCACCTTCCATCTCGTCACCGGGGTCCCAAGAATTGCTCGCCCAAGCGGCTGACTTCACCTCCCTCAGGATGGACACCGAGAGGTGGGGAGATGGCGCCGCACGGAACTGGCCGAAGAGCTTCACCTCATTGACACCCGCAGGTTGAATTCCGTGTGTGAAAGTTGGACCTGTGCTTGCTTACAAGTGATGCTGTTTAGAAGCCCGGCTACTTGCTTGCCTGCGTCCTTGCTTGCCTGCCTGCTTACTTGATTGCTTGCTTGAGAGACTGATCTACAGGAAGCCAAACACGTACATCAAGAAGAGCTCAAGAATCATACGGTAAGCCTTGGCCTCACCAAGATCTTTCCCAGTTGCCTGGCTGCTTTGCCGGGGACATCGCTGCCGACTGCTACTGTTTCCCTATGTCATTCCCAAGTCAGGTGTCATTCCTTGCAAGAGCTACGAGCATGGGCAACTTCCCGAGATCCCGGGCCCAGTTGCCCTCAGCGAGGCTCTGAAGGGCTTTCTCCTCACCGTGCCACGCTTGGCTCATGTCCCCTCTGAGGCCACATTCCCTTGTCAGCACTTTGTCGCATTCGCTCAACTCAAGCAATTGCAAAGTGGTTGCGGGGTTGCTGATGGCTGTTGGTGCACATGATCCATGCTGCGAACCGCACAACTGCCAGCCTGCACGTTGTTCGTATGGACATCATCCAACTATCCGAAAAACACAAGTTGCACATTACTATACTTGTTTTGTGTAAATACACCTATGTACATAACAAATATCGATAAGGGCTCCATGCAAGCCTGGATTGGTCCCTATTCCTAGAACGTCATATGTTGGATGCGCTTTGACTCATACATCACACTCAGCACACAATGCATTCTTGCACAACTCCTGCGTCTTGTCCGTGGCGAAGAAGCGTGCGCGCAAACGGGCAGTGGCATCGCAGACTGTGAACCTGCACTGACATGTAGACAGTTCTAACTTATTGACTTTTACAAACAAGTCTTCGCAAATTGCAGATCCAAACTGCAAATGGATGAGCATGGCTTTCTTGCAGTGCAAGGGGATGACGGAAGGGGCAGCAATTGGAGATGGTATTGGAGACATAGATCGGGCGGTGGGCAAGGAATGGGGGAAGAATCAAGCGAAGGACAAGCTTCTTGAAGAAGATAATGGCAAAGCAAGCACCACGCAAGTGCTAGCAGCTGAACATAGTTGTTGACAAACTGCACCCATTTCTGGTCAGTACTTGGTTTCGCTGCTTTCGCAGCTTTCGCAAAGTAATTGCCGAGAATTCAACTGCAGGTCTTCGGTTGGTTGGTGAAAGCAATTTGAAGTCATTACTATTAAAACCATGGACCAAGGCTGCAATTCAATCCGAGCAGCTCTGCCATGGTGTCCTGCTTGGCGTGCAAGGTCTGGCAAAGGCATATTGACACACCGACAACTTCAAACACATCCGAAACATAGGACGCAAGGTAGGCTAAACTGCCTTTGCGCCACAAGTGAATCCACCTTTGGACATGCGGTTCAATGCATTCGACACCGTCAAACGCTGTCTCAGATGGATTGCACAAATCAGCTCCAGGAAGCTACCCCGAGTCATGGTGTGTATCTGCCCGAATTTCATCTGCCATCCCAGAGTCAGTGCCTCCACCTGCACCAACATCATCAGCAAGCCCGGCGACGTCTCAGAGCCTATGAGCCGAAGGGACATGCGTCTTGGTGAAACTGCCGAAGACTTGAAGACTTAAACACTTGCACATGTCCTTGCCTCGGACATATGTGTATATATTATAATGTGTTTGTTGTGCTATACAAACACACATTCACCTTCCTTTGACAACGTGGGTGCATGTATCATACACTGAATGGATATTAATTGGGGTAAGGTCATCATGTCAAGTTCTAGAGCTTTTAAGCTTGTTACCAAGCACACATCGTGCTCGCTTGAGGACTTGGGGACAAAGAGATTGTCAGGGGCCAGTTTTAACTTTGGCATTTGGATACCTTTCCCGATTCTTGTCTGTCCATGTCTGCAAGACCTGCAATGAAGGCTTCCGCGAGAAAGTGCTAGACAAAGGTGGTTTATGTTACAGTCTCGGCGCCGACGCGGCCCTCACGCTGAAGAAGAACGCAAATCGTGAAGTAGAAACTGTTTCTACTTCACGATTTGCGTTCTTCTTCAGCGTGAGGGCCGCGTCGGCGCCGAGACCCGAATTTGACGTGCACCACGCCGCGAAGAGTTTGCACGCCGATGTCCACGCACGTGAAACCCCAAGATGGAGCTGGGCTTTGTCGATTCAACTCGCGTTTCGTCGCGGGCAACAGACATTCAGCCTTTCTATCGTGAAGCAATCTTGAGAGCACGAATGCAGCCGCGCTCGGGCCAAAGTGCTTGGAAAACCTGCTTAAGCCAGTCGTGGTGCTCCAGCACGCTCACTGAGTCCAGGTGCATGGCCCACAGAGCTGCCAAATAATTCAAGTCAGGATTGATCTCAGGTGGTGTTGAAGCAGACTAGCCAGATGATGCAGAACCACGTTGACACGCTAGTGTCATTGAACAAACTGCTTTTGTAGAAAACCCAACCTCCCAGGATGTCCCACTCTCCTAAAGCAACTACCCATTTGTTGAGTCCTATGACACCGAATACACCGAATCAACTTGGGCAATCGACTCAGCCCTGCACCATGGAAGCGCAGCTCCCCATCCGTGGCTTTCGAAGCCTCATGCGCCGTCTCCTGCACAGCTGCACGGAAGCGCATTTTCAGCCACAGGTTCCGCGCAAAAAAAAAAAAACAAAAAAAACTATAAGCTCAGGTGATATCTCCAGCAGCGTGAAGCACATTTGCGAGCGCTCCTCGGAGCCGCCCCTTTTTTTCCCCGGAACCCTCCCCGTGCATCCTCGGAACTCTCCTCGAAGCCGCCCCTTCCCCGTCCCCGGAACCCTCCTCGAAAGCCTACCTCGGAGCCGACCCGACCACCGCCCGATCTGGGCAAAAAGTTTCCGCAAGAGCCAACATGGGAAAACAGGGGCTGAAGCCCCCCCCCAACTTTCGTGGGAGATTTAGGGCTCGTCTCCTATGTCCCTCCCAAATGGACCATACAGGTGATTTAGAATATATGATAATACTCGGAACCTCGTATGCAGCCGGTTCATCCTCGATGCAGCACGCATGAGTCTGCATGTGATATGGTTTCCCATACAGTATCGTTGGACATCTGTAATGTATCACATGCCTGGCCTAGGATCTTTTGACCCAAGGAACAAAGCAAGGGGTGCCTGGCCCTCGTTCCATGCAAGCACTTTGCATGGGTATCCGACCCCTCCCTTCCCCCATCTCCAGCATGCGCAGGGTCACTGGCAGCAAGTTCCTGGCAGCGAAGGATCTGCGTTCCCTCCCAAGGAAATGGGAACTCCCCTTAAGCTTTGTGGCCTCACATGGCCATCGTGCCCCGATCATGTTGACCTTCTTCTGCTGCCGGCCAATGTGCTTCAGGCGATCTCTGGGTGTTCTACTCTCCCTCGCCAAGAGCAACCCCGAATGATTCTGTAGAGCTCTAGCTCATAGTTCGCTACTCGTCATATATTGTATGTCCATCGGAATGCAAGCAAGCTTGAGCATTGACACGAACTCCTGCCTGCCAGCAGTAGCTTAGCAACTCATTGCAGTAGATGCAACATGCACGGAACAAAACATTTTGTGGTGCATGAAGGAATATTCTTTGCCGCCCCGTCCGAAGTTCAAGACCCACTGTCCCAATGGGTGACGGTTGGACGACACATCATCCGCGCGCTTCGGCCTCGGCTCTGCCCACACCAAAAAAAAAGAGAGTCACACCCTTGTCTCTTTGCATGTGCGTGGGTGTGTCTGTTTTTTGTGGGAACCATCTTTTGGATTTGTTTGGAACCCCAAAAGAAACGCCACCATGTTGGGGTCCCCTAAGGAAAACCAAAACCCATCTCCGAGGACCTCCCCTTGCGAGCTTTGAGTCCTCCCGCTTCTCCGGGCTGGTCTGCGTTGCCATGGAGAAACCGCCTATGGCGAGCGGGGCTCCAGGTCGCAAACGTTTTCGGTGTCTCGTTGTTAAAGTCTCCCTATGAACCACTCCGAAAAAGGCCTCAACAAAAAGACACCCAGATCTTTGAAAGCCACTCTGGGCTTGTGAAACGAGCCAAGAAAACTGGGTCTCCAGGCTGAACATGATGGCGACTCGGAAGTGCTCGCGGGGGAAAGCTGTGCCGTGGCTGTCTCGCAAGCAGCGCAATATCCAGCAACATCCCGTAAGGCGACTGCAAGCGAGAAGCAACCGCAAACCTATCAACTTCCAAACCTAGCGCGGCTCGTGTGAGCGCGCAGCAACTGTTTGGATGATGTTCAGTCACACATGATTATACCGTCCGGTCGATGATGGTTCATACTTCACCGAAACACAACTTCAATGAAGCGAGTGCCAACAAAACGCTAGAGATCAACCATGAACAAGTGCTGATGGCAAAGGTGCAGCACAACACACGCCAAACAGGTTGTCTTTTCTCAAATCTTGACACCATCACTGGCACACGGCCACAAAAGGACCAAATGTCCCTCGGCACTTCCAATCATTTTTTAATCACACTCCACTTCTTTTAAACCCAACCGTGCGGGACCAGCTAAATTGCCCTGGGGATGTGGAAGGTCGATACGAGAAATCCTGGTGAAACAGCAAATAGATTTAAGAAACATTTCACAAAGTCATTTCAGCGACCCGGCCAACACACGCACATGATGGTTCCGTGACCACCGCCTGCAAAACGCCTTTGGGGTTTGACCCTTTGCTGCGCATATGCCTTGCCCAATACGTCCAAAGGCAGCCCTCCCAACACACACGACAGGCACACACAAATTGTTTAGTGAAGTGTAGGGTGTCTCCTTGGCGGACCTTTCCTGGAGAGCAAATTTGGGCAATCCGGGTAAACTTCGCACACGCACTTTCCTTTTCAGGTCCATGTCACGCGATTCACTTATCCAATCCGCCCGTCTGCTGCAGCAGGCTGCCCGTATGCGGCATCAGTCTGCCCGTATGCTGCAGCAGTCTGCCCGTATGCTGCAGCAGGCTGCCCGTATGCGGCATCAGTCTGCCCGTATGCTGCAGCAGTCTGCCCGTATGCTGCAGCAGGCTGCCCGTATGCGGCATCAGTCTGCCCGTATGCTGCAGCAGTCTGCCCGTATGCTGCAGCAGGCTGCCCGTATGCGGCATCAGTCTGCCCGTATGCTGCAGCATGCCCGTATGTCTCTGCCCGTATGCGGCATCAGTCTGCCCGTATGCGGCAGCAGGCTGCCCGTATGCGGCAGCAGGCTGCCCGTATGCGGCATCCTGGCCCCAGTTTGCATAGCCCGGCCTTGGCTCGCCAAGAGAAAGGAAGTCCCAAAATTTGGCAACTGGCTGTGGCTGACCTGATCGCGAAAGCGCCTACGAATCCTCGCGCAAAGCACGGGTAATGCAGTTGCACCTTTTTTGGTGACTTTGCTACTTGCGCACGGCCTTCCGCTGCTTGAGTTCAGTGGCTGTTTATTTAGTTTTGTTTGACAAAATCTCTGCTCACAGCAAAAAAACCTGGGCTGCCAATCAAGAGAAAGCTGGGGATGGACTTAAAACCTGCTGCCCTGGATTCCAGCCCATTTCCCAGCCCAGTGTTTCCTTGCCAAGCGGCTCTGCTGTGCCTGGCGGTGGATCTGTTCGGCATGAAACAAACCCAGTTTTCCAGCAGCTTCAACGCTAAGCACAAGGCCTTTCTCACTAGAGTTGAACAAGTTGAAAGCTGCATGTCGGCTGAGCAAATCTTAGCGACAACTACTTCAGATACCAGTAGTGCCGGCGAAGCCGGTGGGCGGAAGTTTCAAAAACATAAGAACTATTGTTATCCTTCTCTTTCTCTTCCTTTGTTTCTCTTCCTGCTGTTTGTCATCGTTCTCTTCTTCCTTTATTTCTCTCTCTCTCTTTTTCTTTCTTTCTTCGCTTCTTACTTACTTCCTAAAACTCATGATTATCCTTTTTTCCTTCTTTCCTTCCTTCCAGTATCTGAATCATCTTTCTTTCTGTATTTCTTTCTTTTCTTTATTCCTTTCTTTCTTTAACAATTGTCTTTCTTTCTTCCCTTTTTCCTCTTCTTTCTTTTCCTTATTTCCTTGGTTTCTTTCTGTCTCTCTTGTCTCTATCCGTCTACCTATCTGTCTTTCCTTCTTTTGTCTATCTACCCATGCGACTATCTGGTCTCTCTATCTATCTACCTGTCTGCCTAATCATCTAGCTTTCTGACTACCCCTCTATCTATCTGTCTAAGTATGTATATGCCTTTCCGTTTGTCTATCTATCCACGTTATCTATGTATCTATCTATTTATCGATCTATCTATCTACCTCGCGATTGATCCACTCTATGTATCCCTACCTACCCTCTCCTCTATCAATCTACTTCCTGACCTGCGTGTGCATCTAGCCTAACATTCACCTATCCATCCATCTGTCTACCTACCTTCCTTGACTATCTTTCCTATCACCTATCTGTCCTGCCAGCCATGCAAAAATAAAAATACGAAAGGCGTGCGCCCCTGCCAACGGTCCTGGCTCCGAACATAGCGCCGCAATCAGGCTAAATTGCGACCATCCCAAAGTCCCGAAGCACCCAAAGGGTTGCACTTTTGACATTTCTACAACCCCGCCACACTCTCACGCATTTTCTGCGCGCGTGCTTATTATTCTCTTGTCATCTGTCAGAATGCTAGCCTTCAATTAGTTGCCGTACCGCGGAAGTTCCTTCTAATCTAAACTTCTTTTGAGAAGAAGTATCACGAGAAACGGACTCCGGACCAACACCGCTGAGAAACCATTAAACAAGACCCTCAAACAGAAAGTGGTTTGTTTCAAATGTGAAATCGCTTCTAAACGAAGCCCAACACATGACCTCCAAAAAAAAAGTAAACTAGCACTTCGCCGCCATCATGCGAGTCAAATGCATGGTGTCAATGATTGTATTTCTAGTTGAGCGTCTAACAGCTTATCAAACGAAGCTCCGATGGCACATGCTTTGTCCAACCCATCGGCGCCACTTCTTAATATCCAAATACATGATCGTGATCTACCAATTAGCTGTTGATGAGCACAGTGTCGACTTGTTCCCAGCGAAGCTTGCCACGGTGCAATTTCACATTCCCTTCACAGACCTACTTCGCTGTAGATTGACATGGGACTCAAAAGGGTTTCCCTCAAAAGGAATTTCCTCTATAAACGAACTGTTTGGGTTCCATGTTGATCTCTAAGAAAGTACCAAAGCGGAGTGACTCAAATCCGACTTTGAATTAATTCCTTCGGTGTTCATTCAATTCATACGTGTTTCTGTTGAGGGTAGTTGTTGTCTGATCTTTTCGGGCTAACCAAAGGAAAGCCACCATGTGGGGTCCCGACAACCCAAATGAGTCTCGGATCCGCACCAGCAGCACCGTAGTTCGCACCAGCATCACCGTAGCTCGCCTCCAGGCCACTTAAACACTCACCAGAAGCTGAGCTTGGCTTCAATCGCAGGCCTAAGTCACTGATTAACAAATCGCCGCCCATTTTATGCACGCATAGGCCGTCCAAAGCAAACTTTGCAAGGCTGGATAAGGCGAAGGTACGGCAACAAGGACAACAACTTCATTGACTTCAATGTGTGAAGGATTGTACCGGTACTCGTGGAACAACTGCCCGCAGCCTCCGCGAAATACATTTGATTTTGAAGGCGCGTCTCCTGAAGCCGATGCCCGACGTACTGTGAGTGCCCGGAAAAGCGCAAGGACACGCAGTCACAAGCCAACCAAAAATCATGAACCCTTTGCAGGACTTGTATATAGGTCGTTGCGGGCTCGACCGCAAGCTGACTCGAGCATCTAAGATGGACTGCTCAAAGCAAACAAGGCTGAAACAGTTGGCAGTCCGGAAGAGCGATTGCAGCAATCAGATTGATTCCAGGATTGAGGCTGAAACTGAAATGCGTAATCAAAGCAAGAATATGTTGCGGGATCCCTCACAGTGCCATATACATCTGCATGTGACTTGGTTCCTCAAAAGGCACTCCTGGCTGGACCAAGCCAGGAGCGACCATCCAAGAACGCCACGAAACTACGCATTTGGAAAGCCACC